ACAAGTTCGTGATAAATCAGCCTATGCAAGTGACTCTGCAGTCGTAACAATTGCTTGGAATGAAAACGTGGCCTTCTCGTTATTACGGAGTGCATTCTCTGAATCATCTACTAAACATTACGTGGCGAGTCATCTGGGAATAATTACTTACGATTAATACGATTAAAGTATTATCTGTGGTGTATGAAACATTACGGGAGAAATATTGTCGCGTGTCCAATAAAGGTGCACCGCAACACAACATCGAAACTAAAATGTAAACAACTCTTTGATGTAACCAGTTCGAACGCGGATATTAATTATAAACATGGCTGATGAGCTCAATTCTATTCGAGGATGAAATGCACGGAAGTATCAGTTGCTAAATATATTTATACGTGTATAAGTTAGTGAATTTATTTAATATTCTCTGACTTGGAAACAGCTCAGAAATTTTTGTTCTATACAGAATGTTCGAAATAGATTCCGAAGTTTTTCATAAACAATCTCAACGCTTCTACTTTATCGAGTTGTGTAAATAACTTAATAAGCGTTTAAATATCTACTAATGGTAAGATTAAACTAAGAATTTGAGAATTAAATTATACGAGTACACCAAAGTGTGTGGGCTTGTCCTGACTCAAAATTGGAAGGAGAATGTAAAGGTGAAGCCTCAAGAACTCTAATGGCAAACTAAATAGACTCAACTTCTTTTACACTTTTACTCCAAAGTACCTACACATTGTTATTTTATACTACTTTCACTGTAAAAACTGCTGATAAAGCTACTGATTTCCATTGTACATTTTATCTCTATTTGCTCACAGATTTCATGCTATCACTCCTCATTTGCATAATCTTAATTATATCAGAACACTATTTTAATTCGATTAAAACCAACTTCTACATAGTTATTACAAAAGTCTTGATACAAAAACGAACATTACACATATTACTATACTCCATCAATTAAACAGTCCACATTATCTCAAAACGTCTTTCCTCCATCATAATCGTGACTGTATCATTACTCCCTACACTCGTTACACTTCGATACAAAAGAAATACACGCGCATACTACAAGCAAAGAAAACGTTGCAATTATTTCACGTGCAATTAATGAGCATAAACTTGTCGAGAATCCTGTGTCTGTCCCTCGCGTTCCTGTCACAGCGCCACACCGCGCGGCGGCAATCGAGTTTCTCGCTACACGGCCGATTCTCCCATGAACCGCCTGTTATCGCGTGTCGCTCCCGGTTATCGGGAAATCGCGAATTAACACGAGCAACCACGAAGCAGAACTTCGGTCGTTCCTCGACAGAAATCGTCAATTTCCGTCGAGTTCCGGATGTCGCGCGAGACGTCGGTCTCGGAGGCTCCGCGATACGGGGATCGTCAAACATTCGTCGAACGTCGTGGAGACAACACAACATAACACGGTGTGGTGTGCACAGGCGTGACACTGCCGGAACCCGGTCCACCACGCACGCCATACGCATCTGTCATTTGTCGTACACCGGGCACGGACAACGGACCGTTTACGTCACAGAGATATGGAATTCTATCGTCTACGCTTACCTCATCGAGTGTGGTTTCCTCGTGGCTGGACCGTCTGGTAGTCAGCTTCTCATTCTTCCTCTCTTACGCTCCTTGATCGCCAGCATTGTAGCCATGCGTACGCGAACGTGGCCGTTCCAACTGACGTTCACCGCCATGACACACGGTTCCCAGTTCCCGCGGCACGCCGCCACTTCGAAACGGACATTTCGCGATCACTCACAAACACACACTCGCGACATCCAGCGGGATCTTTTTCGGCGGCCGGCGGCAACAGGTCGCGGCACTCGGTTATACACGCCGCGTGAAACGTGACGCTGTGTATTATTGTTTATTGTTCCACGGCCAAGCGGCGAGCGTGGCGCGTGCACAGAACATATATACACATACCCCACACACACCAGGCGCGGTCTCCGCCTCTCGCAGACGCTCTATTTCGGTCCACTCAGGTAGAAAAGAAGGGACAGCCGCAGTCTGGCTCGGACGAACGCTTGGCGACACTATTAACGAAGCTTAAGGAACGACCACTGTAGCTCCGAAAGACAGAAAAAGATAGAGAGTAACGAACCGGAATGGAGAAAGAGCGAGCGTAACAGAGAGGAGAAACACGAGGGACTCGAACCAGCGGCTACCCATTATAAATAGTCGCGACCGCCTAGCAATGGGAGTAATACCCTCGCGTCCACCAGGTGGAACGAGTGTATTGTTCGAGTGCACCGTTATACACTTCCTGCTGTATTCATGTAACCAGCCACGGTTAGTATGTTTTCTGTGAAATTGTATCAAACGTAAAAGAAAATTGGACAAACAGATTTTTAGAAAGAATTATTGAAAGATTAAACATTACTTGATTATCGTACTAAACGTTTTGCGACTTCAAGTTATAAGTACGATGTTTCATTTGGAAAACTGACCAGAGATGTATGTCACGTGACAAGACCGGTTACCATCGCGTTGTGACTGAGTATAATCGATATACTACGTATAATATCGATACAGGTTGTAGGGTCAAGTTAGTATGAAGAATGTATATAATTGAAAGTGTGTGAAGTATGTCTTGAAACATTAGTAAAGCAAAAGGTACCCTTCGTGAGCAAACTCCACTTCTGCTAGGGGAAAAAGTTGACGTAGGAGAAGGGCCTCCTACATACCATGCTCCTACCTGTTAGTATTTGGAATTACTGAAATTTATGTGAAGCTAACATTCGATTTAACATTAATTTCAGTACCTCGAATAAATTTACCAAATGGTAGGAGACTTTTATTCTACGTCGCTTTTTCCCCTAGTGGAAGCCGAGGTTGCTCGTGTGTGGACGTCATTGTTTGAGAACGTTTAACAACGAATCGTTCCCGACACTCGCGGCTGGGTCAGTTAGAAAGAGACGAGTCGAAAGGAGAAAGAGAGACAGGTAACATCAGCGGAAGTATGCGCGTTGGAAAGAGAGAGACAGAAACGGAAAACCGCATCGCGTTTGCTCCATCCTCATGTTGCGCGTCATTGTTCCGTCACTAAAGCCTGCCTTGAATTTTAACGGACTGCGGTCCTAACATGTAAATTTACATGATTGCCTTTCGACAGATGGCGGTCGCCGATTTTACAGTCTCGTACCTGATGAAACAATGGAAATATTCGTAGTTACAATACATTCACACAATACCATTAAAAAAGGGTGTAACGGTTATTTTTCTTAGGAAAAGGTGTTTTTTCATTTGTGATATATAAAAGAAAAGTGCCAATTACCTTATGACAGGCATCCAAGACAGTCCTTTTTCGAAGTATTTGTTAACCTTCCGTGCTTACTTGTTTCCGACAGCATAGTTAATTGAACGATACACAATCTGACAGAACTACGAAACTATCGACAGTATACTTCGATGAGAACGAGTGTTTATCGTGTTGCCTAATTAAATTTGCAACTTTCAAAATATTTCTATTAACTACGAAATCTCTTAAGATACTAAAATTCGCGCGACAGCTATCATTAAACACCGGAGCCGCGTTGCTTATTTTGAAGCGAAACGTTTGTTGGCAACACTTGCACGTCTCGTACCTGTTTATAAGTTTTGGCGCGAATCCGAGGTATCATTACGTTCGCCGGATATTTGTGGAAAGATAATAAATCGATCGATATACACTGGTCTCGCGATTAGTCGATCCTTGCGCCGATGTTTCTTTAATTGGTCAAACGAAACGTTTTGAATACCGTTAACGAAAGCATTGTGATTCATCGATGAAGTAATATGAAATGTTGATTATTTTCGAACGGACCGTTGCGCTGGTAATACGATAACGTTTCAGTGAAAGGTTAAGTGAGAACGGCAAAAATAGATGGCATTTTGTTGCGCTGGTAATACGATAACGTTTCAGTGAAAGGTTAAGTGAGAACGGCAAAAATAGATGGCGAGAAAACAAGTGCTATCACAATAATTTTTCTAGGTGCGTGATTGCGTTTCGTGGTTATCCTTTCGCCACAATATGGTTTAGGTTAAGTGTGCCGAGTCCAATGGCGCCAGAAATTGTTTGACCCCATATAAAAAGTAAGTTTACAAACAAAATGTTTCTTTACAATTGTAATTATTTTACGTTGTTGAGTGATTTCTATCTTAATGAAATTGAAGAAATTTAATTTAAAACGAACGTGCTGAAAATATTGATTTAAAGGAGGACTTTTTATCCATGGAGCTCTTTATAGCATATTTTTATAGTCCAGTGTATAAAAACAACAATTACATACGAATTTATGCGTTCCATTAATACGTTTGATTAATTTAAATGTTCTGTAAAACGCATATTAAGTACTGTAGCAGTCAAACTAAAAATCAGACTCTGTTCTGAATTACCGTTCTGGTAGGTTGAGATTAGGTTATGATATCTAATACAATCTAACCATTAATGTTTTGTTTTCATAAAACGTATACTAAAAATCAATTTAATTAAAATCTACATTTTTAATAAAAATATCCGACCATGTGTTCTTTTCATTATGAATGAAGTTGAAACCTATAATAAATTGCTCGGTCCAATACGATTCGTTTGGAGGCTGCATGCACAACGGGAATTGGGATCTTGTTCTGCGGGTGGGAAAGATATTTAACAGAACATCTTATACGATAAACCGTTTTATTTTAATAATGTGTGTGCGTGTATTTTTGTACAATATAATAATAATAATTATAGTAGCAATAGAAGTAGTAGAATAATAGTAGTAGAAGTAGTAGTAGTAGTAGAACAGCTGAGAAGTAGTTACAGCGTGTTTTAGCCAGCCGGAATCCTCGCCGTTATAGGTTAAGTTCCTCGCGAAGAAATACAACGTGCCGACGTCCGCTGTCCCGTGTCGTCCTTTTGGTATCGTCCCGGTCTCGCGTAAGGCACGAAACGAGAAGCCACCTATAACGACGTGATTCTGGTACAATGGCGCGCCATTGTCGTCTCTACTGCCGCCACGACTATATTCGATGGTTCGAAGGATGTTTCGTGATTGTTTGATGATCAATCGATTGAATTCGTGGTTAGATGCCGATTTGTCAGAAGAGATGTCTATTCTTCCTCTTCCTCCTCCTCCTCTTCCTCCTCCTCTTCTTCCTCCTCTTCTTCCTCCTCTTCTTCCTCCTCCTCTTCCTCGCCCTCTCCGTCCTTTTCGTCTCCACCCTCTTCCTCTTCCTCCTCTTCCTCCTCCTCTTCCTCTTCTTCTTCTTCGAACTGTGGTTCCTCCAGTTCTTCGTCTTCAGCCGCAGCCTTCACGTCTTCTTCGCCCTCCGGAGACTCGGGGTCTCCAGCTTTCTTGCCTGGCCTCTCGCCGAACCACTTCGGCAACTTCGCTGTTTTTTTTTTCGTGAAAGACAGATAGATGTTAAATTCATTTATCGACACATGGTAGATATTATTGTAGCTAGGGCTCAAGCGATGACAGCGAGGGGCTTGTATACTTAATCGTATACCGTAAAAGTAACGCGATACCGACGTCTTTGATGAGAACAAGAACGAACCGCGAAAGAGCTATTCCAGAATTTTACGAAACTTTACTCTTTCCATCGAAAAAAAAAAATAACAAGTCGAAGATCAAAGGTATCGAGACTCGTTTCCAATTTCACGGAAAGTTCTTCCGGCCTCGCTTTTCAACGCAGGCCCGAGCGACATTGACGAAATACACTCCTCCGCAGGGCGGTTGTAGCTTTGACCCAGTTTCCAGAAAACGTTCCGGCTGGTCAGGTTTCACGACTCCCCCCTGCGACTCGAGCAGACGCACACGATGATACGTGAAATAATAAACGTGTGGATACAGCGGAACGCTTTTTACCCGGGGCGTACTTCACTATCTTCGTGTTACCCCGATCAAAACGTGGAGTACATATACTTCCGAAACGGGGCCCCGATCAATCCATAAATTCTTGTAATACAAGACATGCGAACTGGAACATTTCTTCGGAAAGTATTCGCGGAACGTTCTTTCACGTAGTCACAATTCTCTACGGCGAATTTCTCGTATGTGTCTGCTCGAAAAATAATTCCAGCATACCTACCCTTCTGACGACCGAGGAATTGCTCCTTTTGCTGAGTCCATTGCTTCTCTACGGTCTCCTTCTGCTGTTCGGTCAGGCCCTGCAACACCAACGGACAAAATCGCATGCTAGGATACATGGTCACACGAAGGACACTCGTCTGGGACCCTTTGCTCGGTTTTCGAGTCATTGTACGAATCTCTCCAGGGGTGGGGGATGAACTCTAGGGGTTGACGGTGGTGGAGTGGGTCAGAACGAATAAGTAACCGTCTCCTACTATACAAATGCCTGGAACTAGTTTCAGGACACGGCTTCCTCAAACCACTGGCGTTACTTTGACGACGAGAGGGGGTAGGGGGGACATTATGATGAACCAGACACCCGTTAGCTTCGTTCAAGATTGTTAATGACGGTCTCTTGTTACACAAATCCTTGTACTCTTTACACAGACTCGACGTTAATCACTTGACAATGATGTCGGTGTGTAACGAGTCTTAAATGTATTAATGTAATACTGAATATCCTATCGAGTATTAAATCTTTATTGAACTTTTAGGTGGTGCAACGACATGATAAAAAATGGTGTATCCAACGGAGAGAAGTTGGAGGAACTTTTTGAATTTAAATTCTGACAGAAATTCAGAATAGGTGTTTCTCAGTTCTAGAAGAATTCAGATATCTGTATGTATAATTCCGACGATCCTATTCCTGAGCATTGTTTCGGTGATAAATCGTGATGTATATTAGGGCAGGTTTGAGTACTGTTCTTCGTGTACAACATGGATGTAATGCTCGGCAATCTCTGTGTTCCAGAACGACTAATTGGTAAATGGTGGTGGGGGGAGGGTCCAACACGAATTAGAAACACGATCGTTGTGACAATTTTGGGGGCGGTGGGGGTATCAATCAGCAATGCAAGCAAAAAGAGGTGGTACACTAACAGAGAGACAGAGAGCTCGGTGGGACTCACTTTTGGTGCGCTTCATGAACTGTTCTGATTTCTGTTTCCATTGTTTCTCGTTGTACTCCGCTAGAAGCGTGTCATAGCCCTGCGATTCAATCGACATTCTTCACTGATCACTCTTTGCTTTGTTATTTAAGTACTATTTCCTAACGGGCTGTGTCGCTTATTCTTTTGCCTTTTCGAATCTCTTTTTCCCCCCAACGTTCTGTCGATTTCCCTGACACGCGTGAACCCAGTTCGTGAGAAGATATTTTATCCAAGACAAATGCTATTACAGTAAATCTTTTGATAATAGTTTAGATATCATGAATTTTTAGACTATCTTTTTTCTACTTGGTAATTGGGGGTCGAATCTTTCGGGGTTTACGATCGGCCAAAACAATTCGTGTAAACGGTAACTGTTATTCCCGGAGTCGGTCGAGTATTCGAAGAATCAACGACTGACATAACCGGTGAACAAGCATACTTACACCCTCGAAAAGCTTCTTCTTGTCGTCGTAGGACCTGGTATCCACGCGACGTTCGTATTTGGAGGCGACTTGGATCTTGGGCTGCGCAGAGAGAAAAATAGTTTTATTCCGCTGAAGGAGGTTTATTTTCGGTTTCTGAATAGCTAGGACAAGGTACTTACTGGGTACTTGCCGGTGAGGGCTTCGGGGTCAAGACCTTTCTTCAAAGCCTTGTGCCTCAGTTGCTGCTTCTGACGTTCCTTTAATTCTTTAAGCTGTAAATCGAAAGAAATCACTGAAATGTTATTGTTTCTTGCAAGATGAAATATAATTATTTGAACGATACGATGACATGAATTGCTTCGTGAAATCAACGAATAAACTAGGCACAGTTTATTAGAAACAGCAAGTCATCGATCATTGTACTCGAAAAAAAAAAAAGCAACAACTAGCGAGTCATATACCGCAACAGTTTGTTTTCACGATACTCACGTCATAGTCCTGACGTTTCTGTCGCTCTTCAAGATCGTATTTCTCGGTTTCCAACTTGACTATGGTCTCCCAGAGTTCGTTAGCCTTGTACCGGAGCTTCTCAATGGACAGGTTGTCGATTTCCAAGGGTTTGATACGGATGCTCAGCGAGATTTTCTTCTCCTCTTCGAGCTGTTCTTTCGTCTTGTTGCGCTCCAATTGCGCCGACGTGAGGTTACCCTATACCGTGTCACCAACGGAAAACACCATTAATAACCATTCGTACGGATCCCCACAACACGGCTGGAGACCACATAAATCAGTAATATTTTTTCAATCGGATACGTACTGCCAGATCTTTCCTGGTGATGGTGAAGTTAGGGCCCTTCTTGCTCTGGTCCTTCATCGCTTGCATCATAGCCTGGCGTTTCTTTTCTGATTCTTCGAGACGCCTGAAACGAATCGACACTTCATTAATCGCAAAATTTATCGACAGAAAATGATCGAATGAAGAGTGACGAAACGTACTTTCTCTTTTCCTCTATGTCACGTTGTTTCTTCTCCTCTGTGAATGTAGAAAAACGTCAATAAATCTCCGAATAGGAACAAATAGATATTTTGTTGTATCAAGAAAGGAATAAAATTTCAACGTTACCAATTTCACGCTGGCGAGGCTCTTCCTCCTCCTTCTTTTTCTGGGCCAATCTCTTCTCCTCGTCCGCGCGAGTGATCTTGCGCTTCGCTTGCTTCTCCTGTGTACAGAAAAAAAATTGGAAGCGTATAAAATCGCGCACCAGAGGGATACACACGGGCGCATAATGTTGCGATTACAGATGTTAGCTGGACAAAACTATTTTTTTATATTTACTCAAACTAAATGTGATCTAGAAGAATGAATATACGTATTTTTTGTTGACTCAATATTAATTTTCTTTTCTATTTAATGAGTATTAATGAAATATTTGTGGTTTAAAAGAAAAAATATATTATGTTTACCAACATTTTGATAGAACAGAGTGTAAATCTTTTATTCTTCACCACTGGAATTCCTTATGGAACTGACTTCTTCCTTGCTAATTAGAATTATACTATAATTTACATCCGATGTATCCGCATTGTTACGAAGTTTACGAACCTTCAATCTCTTCAGCTCCTCCTCCTCCTTGGCCCTCTGCTTTCGCCATTCTGCAATGTATTCCTTGAGCTGTTCGTCTAGGTCGCTACGCTTCTGTTCCTGCCTCTGTTACGGGGAATCAAACGAAACGACAATGAATGTGAATACGTTGTGCGTTACACACGTGGCGTATAAATCTATGATCACGGGGATCTGTGCCTCACCTTCATAAACTCGGGATTCTCCCCAGAGTCCCTGATGTAGGCCGGAGCGAAAACAAAAGTAACTCTCTTTAGTTCCTGCCCGCCTTCGTCCTCCGAGAGATCTCGCAGAGATCATCATCCAGAAACTCCGTGCGCCACTCTCGCGTTCCATTTTTTCCCTCATTTATTTATTACAACCTCATCCATTCCCTTTCTCTCACTCTCTTTTTCTCGTGTGGCGAAAATAACTCTTTCGTTTGTTTGTCTTTTCTCCCTTCGTATGATCTTTTCTTTTTTTTCTTTTGTTTTTCGTCGCACACGCCGCCGACAACACGCAAAAAACAGCCAGACAAACAAACAGACGGACAGACAGACGCGCAAACGGACGGACGTACGGACAGACAGACAGATAGTGTAGAAAGCGCTTGGAGAGAAAGAAGATATTAGGTTTGCGCAAGTTGTGAGAAAGAAACGTGACGGTGAAAAGAAGAAGAGTGTATACATACTTCGGGGGGAAGCGAGTGGATGGAGGAGAGACATTTAATGAATTTAGGGGATGGATGGGGGATGGAGGGAGGTGAAACCGATGAGTTTGCGGCTGGGAGGAATCTATTAGACTCTCGTGGACAGGATATTGGAAAATTGATGGGAGGGTTTTACCGTGAATTACGCGGTTACTTGGATTTAAATTTTGCTTCGAGTTCTCGGTGAAATATCGAAGTTTCATCCCCTCCTTCCCACGACGAACGGGGAGAAATGGCATAACTTCTTTGCGCGTCGATTCGAAATGATTTTCAGATGAAATTTATACGGAATCGCGGAGCTATCGATCGATCAAAGTTACAATTGAATGGATGCAGAAGAATTCGTTAAGAAAAAAAAAAAATAAAGGAAATAGTATGTTCCCGTTGATAACTGAACAAAAGGTGTCCGAAAAAATATACTCGGTTGAATTGCTCACGAAAAAAAAATGATTTCCTCGGAAATTTGGAAACATTTCAAAAATTTCAAGTATTCTCGAATACGTAGACGCGATAGATTAAACGACGTCGCGTGGATCGAATCCAGGATGACTGTGAAACGAGGGAAGGATCTCTAATTTTAAAGATGATTCCGTCGGTGACGAAATGTGTATGTACAGGCCGACTGCTCGATCGTTTTTGAAGGCTGTAAAAGGATTAATGATACTTGGGACTACGGACGTATTCGTTTAGTGTTTAGCTGAAGAGAAATAGTAACACGAAGCCGCTCGAGAACGAAGCGATTAAGCGTTTTGTTTTTGTTGTTTACAGAAGCGATTCAGCAGGTTTCGAAAAGAAAACTGACGAAACTTGAACAGCTCGCAAACAGGGAATAAGAATAATCGTGTCTGAAAGAAAACTTCTGGTGTCGAACCTTTTTTTCTCGACCCGATTCTATGAAATATTTGTAAATCCACAATAGGTTTCCATGAAACACAAGTAAATTTAATTGCATCGTGTCAAATGATGATGACCAAGGATATAACGGGGATCAGAAAATGGAGCACAGAGAGACCCGGCACTCACTCTTCTTCTCGTCAGACATTTTCTTCTTCTTTCCCAACTCAAATGCAAGCAACACACAGTCGCCGCCGTTGTCGTCATTCTTATTGTCAATTATTGTCCACAACGCCGTCGAAAAGCCACAGTCGAAAGCCAAGGAGCTGGCCAGTTTACATACAAAAGTCGGATTTCGACGATCGTGTCATCTTTGGAGGGCCACGAAATCCTCGAGGAATCGTCTTATTGGTCTGCCATATTTTAAATTATAAAATGAAAAAAACAACGAACCATTAAAACGTTAAATCTTCCCGTGAAATGCAATGATTTCAATTTGAAGATCATCCAGTAAGAATCGAGTTCAGCAACGAAAACAACAGAAAATCGGTGTCGACCGAAAACGGGAGCTCGTCCAAATTTTCCGTCCCGGACAGTTTATTCTCTGATTCTCACTCCCGACGTGAAATCATAAACAACGTGTAACACTGTTGGCAGCGTGACACCCCGGTTACGTAACGCGTCCGTGTATTACGAAACAATCCGTTATCGAATCGCGTTCGGAACGCGAGAAAATTCGTCGCGATTCCACGAGAATTCAGTGACCCTTCGGAACGCTTTAGCCGATCTTTCTCTGCGACAAAGTGACCGAAAACGACAGAGGAGGTATTGGCATGGTGATTATTGCTGCGGGTATCGATTGATTATGGCGCAAGATCAACACGATTAACAGAACTGCGACATTGGTGTGGGGGGTGGGGGGGTGGTGATTTAGGGTGGTGGACACGATGTTTGGCAGAAACAAAAAGGAAAAACAGAACAACACGAGTCCTGAAATACACAGGATACAAAACAACGAAACACGAGAGCCAAGGTGGGTTGGTCTTGAACGAGATCAACGAATAAAAATCGTCGGTGGATCGTCGATCGCTCGTGTATACACATGTGTCGACACGGAACACGGGCACACGGAATTATGTACACTTGCCGTTAATACGTGATTAATCGGGTATATGTATAGAGACAAAAAGTAAGAAAAAAAAAAACACGATAGTGGGGGTAATGAAAAAAGACAGAGAAACATGAGCTTGGGGGGTTGGTGGGTTGAGGGTGGGGGTTGTTGCTTCGAGCACTGATCACGAATTATTAGAGTGTCTTTTTGGCAGGATCGAGACTTTGGTTATACTCGTGGAATACAGAACAATTCTTTCGATTATTATATAACACGAGGAAAATTGGAAATGTACAAAAAATACGTCGAATATACGTTACAAATATATATGGGGATTGAACGATAAAATGGTTTACGTGTAACACGAAGAAAAAAGATGTCCACTGACACAATGATTGAAACATAAAATATACATATATGTAAGTTGTATAGATCACGAGGAAAAATGTTGGAAAAATGTGTGCACGTAAAAAACCGTACGGTATATCGAAGAATTAATGGTAATATAAATCGATTCACATGTAATACCAGGAAATTTTGTGAGATAACGAACATATAAAAAAAAAAGGACGTCTCTACAGGATTTGGAAAAAACAGAATTGAAGCTCCAACATCCTTTCTGTACCTAGAAAGTAAAGAGTAAAATTTTCCTTCGATCTTCCAAAAATTCAGCGTATCTCGAAAACAAATCCTTCTTAATCGCCAACGGCCGTCGAGACCCGGCCGTAAGCTAAACAGATCCGTCTGACAATAGTCGCGGTTTTTCCGCCGAACGGGGAGGGTGGTGGTGGTCCTCCGCCCGCTAATTAGATTGCATCAGTTTGGAACGGTGGCGCGCGGACACACCGCAGCTTCAGTATAAGAATAAACCGCATTACGTTATCGTACACATATTTATGAAACGTTTGGCAACGGTCCAGCCCGACGCAAGTTATATTAGTTGCACACTACCACCTTATGCAACCGGCCGGCGGTATAGCACGGTCAAAAGCCTTAAAACTTCTTTGCTAAACAACCTTGCCGCCAATAAATACCCTCGTGGCCAAACGTGCACGAACTGCAAAAAAGTTGTACAGGGTCAAGTACTCTTGAGCGAACGAAACGTACAGTAAATCATCGATGAATGTTCGAGGAAGGTTCTCGATCGAGATGTCCCCCAGATGTGACGTTGAGTTTTTAATGAAATTTATCACAGTGATAGAGCTTGGAATTCCGAAGCCAATGGTATTTCTTTCAGCCGCATATTAGTTAATGAAATATTTAACATTCAGTACCGAGGAGCCTTCAGACGCTCATCGACGATTTACTGTATTCTGATAAAAGTCGATCCCACCATACGCCTAAGCATCAGGGAATCGAAAAACAAAATCTAACGAGATAACGGAGCGAAAAATTGTCTACAAGATGTTACTGTTTCCAATACCTAGAAAATTCCATCTGTAATCGATTCAAGTGCAACGAACCGAATGGGAGTCTCGTTCCCGCCAAAAGTTCCGAACAAAAGCGCGGACTTAAGGGTTGTTTTCTGGGGGGGGTGGGGGGTGGTGGTATGTGAGAGCGGCCGAAGAACAAAGAAAGAGTATTATTGACGTGTATATAAACAGCTCGAGATTCAACTTACTTTTGGGACGCCCTACCCCTACAAAAAAAGAAAGGAAAGGTGCATTAATAACAATTGAATATACGTATCCTCTGTTTTACTTGTGGGACTGCACAAAGCCACGGAAGGTGCGTTCGTTCGCCATTTTCATTTGTTTGTTTTTTTTTATGCACTTTCGTTCTGTGTGTATGATACGATTGAAAAGTCCTGCCTCGATCGGACGACAAGATAAAAAAAATAAAATAGCGATCGTTAAGAGTCGAACGGACAGCCTGCCGCGTTCCATCCGCTTTTATTCATCCGTCGTGTATCCCTTTTCCTGCTTTTCTTTACGACGGGAGTCCCGTCGAAAAGACCCTCCCGCGCGTTTTGTTTCTCTTCACGAGCATTCTGATTAGCTTTTTTATGGGTACGACATAAAGAAAAAAGAGGGAGAACAGGGAGGCCTACCGTGACTCTTTCGTTACACCGAGGAACTTGTCACACCTACGTCGTAAATACAACACAGCTTTCACCGCCGACAAAAAAACCTTTTCCAGCCGGACGGTTTCGAGCGCGGGGAAACAAGAACGATCGTCATGCGACAGAGAAGTAATATTTGGCGCAAAGAACAGAAAAAAAAATAATAATAAAATAGACAAAGAGAGTTAGGTGTGGTGACGTGTGTGGTAACCCGTGGCTTTACCCTCGGTTCGATTGAAAAGTGAAACCGATTGAGGCGAGAAAAATGGGGAAAAAAGAAGCAGTTAAGTGATCTCTGAAAAATTTAACGTGGGTGTCTGCCCCGACAAATTCCACCCTCGACGGAGAAGCTTTTTCCTTTTAGCCTCATGAAGGATGCACGATAAAACCATCGGAAGCATGGTTAAGTCTCGTAACAGGTAGCTAGTATAAAATGTATCTACTGTAAAAATGTCGTTTACTAGGAAGTGGCTAATACACCGGAAAACATGATCCTTGTTTCATCAATTTTGGATACGCGATAGTGATCTTGTCTCGTCAAAATGGTGGAATACGCGTACATCGTTATGCATTCTATCAGTTCGAACTGAAAATTGGGAACCACCCGTGTATTTACGGCGAGGACATTATGTTCGTTCCGCGTATAAATGCACGTGTCATCGTCAGAATTCAATCCGTGAATATTAGCCCTGTTCTCGGAAGATTCAACTACCAATCCCGTTTCACTTCTCAATCCACGGGTGTCTCGTATCGAGAGAAACGTGTGGAGATTTAAGGGTTCCATTCCAAAAAAAAAAAAAAAAGAAACGACCAGTAACGGTGTGGCGTGTGTCAAAAACGGGGACAAGGTTGGCAGCGATAGACAAAATTCGTTCAACCATCGACACAACAACAGCGAGACAGCACCAAAAAAACGGGGGGTGGGGGGGCGAGGGGCGGAGGGTGTTGGACCAACAACAAAATCGTCGAAAGACGTCAGAAAGACAATGAAAAAGAAAAATAAACAACGTGCGCGTAATAACGCAGCCCCTTATACTGCTCTACCCGGGTAAAATCTGTTCCGTCGATCGATAAAAACGACAACAACAATAAAACCGACCAACCGTCCTGTTGAAAAAACTGAATTATCGAGGGAACTAGCAAAAAACAAAAAAAAACAGAAAATAAATCAAACAACGACGATGTACGAAGGCTGACACGTTCGAATGAAAAGAAAAGTAAAAAAGAAAGAAAAAAAATAAACTCGATGGCGAAGTTATCGGGCGTGGAAATACAGCATAAAATACAGCTCTCGGTTGTACATGTACAGGGGCTACCTACGAACAATAATTTTAAGTGAGGCTAAAAATAAAGAAAAACAGTAGAAAGGGACGGACACCATGGGTACGTTTCACTTCTAACGCGGAAAGTGGAAGAGGTGATTTTTCATCGTCACGGCGGACGAGGCGGTCGAGCCTTTGCAACGCTCGCGAAAAGGGTGTCAGATTACCCGAAACGTTTGACTCGAAATTTCCATTTGGGGTGAAACCAATTCGCTGAGGGGTCGCTCGACAGAGGGGGGCAGCACCCTCTTTCGAGTGAAAAAAAATTCCTCGAGTAAAAGAATCGAGGTCGACGGCGATAAAAAACAGGCCTTTAAAACGGCACTGCGAAACAGCCCAAAGGGGTGTCGTTATTGTATGTTAATAAACAACGTTATTGCACCGTTAAACCGGACACGCCGATAAAAACACGTCCCCCTACCGTCGTAGTCGCGAAAAGTCAGCCTCTTCCAACGAATTACCGGAAATTAGCCGCGTCTATGTACAACGTTTTACTGCTTGCGTGGCGGAAAGAAATAAAAAAAAAGAAAAAGAACAGAAATATCACTCCAACGGCGTGGAGCTCGTACATAATGGCGGGGGCCGTAACGGCAACAATATGGCGGACAGTTGATGACCGCACACGGCTCTGGGATAAATGGTATTGTATTTATATCTGTACAAGATACGTTAAACGATTTCATGTTAGCCGTTCTTTTGCGAGTAACAAGTCAATATCGAATCCTGATGTATCGAAGAACTGTATTGTTTCCTTCGAAATGGTACAGTCTTAATTTCGGTTAGGCGGAACGTTTCTTGACGTCTGACGGCTTTAATTTTAAATGGGACATCCGTTGATTGGGTAACTGGTTTTAAAGTAAAACGAATTTTTAAAAATTTTTTATTGTGTTAAAAATTAAAGGCCGAAGATAGAAATAATGTAATGGTGACTCAACTCAATACTTATGTCGATTCTAGTATTAGATTTTAGGTGGAATCACTTTGCAGGTCGTAAAAATCGAAAATCCATGTAAATCGTCACACTGTTTAATACAAAATCAGCCGGACAGAGAAACACTCCGCGTAACCAAAATACATACGTACTCACGACTGGGAATACATATCTCGTTAGAAAAGGTGTGTACAATAAAAAGACAGTAAAACAAGAACAGAGAAAAATGGAAAAGAAAAAAGAAAGAACGGTTTCCGCGCAACAACAAAAACCGTCCCGTACGTGTGCGTGTATACGTGTTGTAAACAAAAAAAGAAAAACACATTGCGTGAATAGCGACCAGAGACAGAAGGTTGTAAGAGGCGAGATAGCAGACGAACAGACAACTGAACCCGAGAAACAAGACAATAACAACGATTTTGTTAGACGATTAAACAGAGAGAAGAAAAGTGAAAATAAAAAAGGAATGAAAAAAAATAGAGAGAACAGAAACAATAGAGAAACAGAGAAGTGAACACAGCTGCCCGCGAAAGACACAGGCGATTATCGCAAATTGTTGTTTGCTCGACGAACAAAAACTTACTCGATCTTCCTCTCCGGTTGCCTTCGATTTTTCGATTTTTCGTATTCGCGTCGGTCGTTCGGGTCGATGGTGATTTGATCGATTGGTTGGTTTGTATTTTTTTTTTTCGATTTTTTTTTGTATGTATTGTATGTGGAGATTCAGGCGTAGGGGGGTAGATGGAGAGAGGCAGATTGCGATAAAAAAAACAGAAACAGAGAAACGAAAATCAGAACAGCATATTCGGTCGGGGAACGAAACCGCGACCGGTTTTTTAATTCTTATTTTGTCGGGTCGACGGACGCGGGGCTGGATCGTTAAATTTCGTTATTTTTTTTTCTTTCCCT